TCTTTGCTTTAATATATTTATTCAATATATTTAAACTTTGTCTTCTAATCCATCTATTTTTTCCTCTTATTTTTAATTTTCAAGAACTCATATTTTTTCTCTCAATAGGTATTTGAAAAGACTTTGTGACTGCTGTATTAATGCAATGACAAATCTATCCAATTAAAGATATATTCTGAAACTTTCTTCTCATAGTCTGTTTTTCTATTTTTTTCTTTGTTTATTTTGGTCTTTATTTTCTATGTAGAGATTTTCTTCGGATACTTGGTATTTCCAATTAAGGTGAGAGTAGGAGATATGAAAGGATAGTTAAAGTGTCACTCCAAGGCACTGATTCTAAACGAGCTGTGATTTTTTTTCTCTCACCTGATATTTGGCAAAGTCTGAAGACATTTTTTTATTGTCATAAATCAGGGAAGGGAAGAACTACAGGTCTCTAAACGGGAGAGGGGGGACAAGGATGTTACGAAACATCCTGCAATGCACAGGACAGCCCCATGCAACAAAGAATTATCCAGTCTAAAATGTTAATCATGCCACTGTTAAGAAACATTGTGCTAAGATAATCTACGTGATCACTTTATTGGAAACTCTTAGGTCTGTATGTGTAGGTTGTTTCTTTTGGACTTGAGAGATTCCCCAGAGAAAATTTTTTCTATATTTTATGTGGAGACTAACAGTTGGGCTAACAGCTTCCTGAGAGCTGTTTTAGAAGGTGCATTAGTCAGTGCTCGTATTGCTATATAGAAATACCTGAAACTGGGTAACTTATAAAGAAATGAGGTTTAATTGTCTTACAGTTCTACAGGCTGTACAGGAAAGTATAGCATCAGCATCTGCTCCTGGGCAGGCCTCTGAAAGCTTACAATCTTGGTGGAAGGCCAAGCAGGAGCTTGCACATCCCACAGCAAAAGCAGAAGTGAGAGTGAGGTGGGAAGGGGCTACACACTTTAAACAACCAGATCTAGTGAGAACTCACTCATTATCATGAGAACAGCATCAAGGGGAGAGTGCTAAACAATTCATGAAAAATTCTCCCCCCATGATCTACTCACCTCCCACCAGGCTCCACCTCCAACACTGTGGATTATAATTGGACATGAGAATTGGGCACGGACACAGATCCAAACTATCACAGAAGGGGTTTGGGGTTTTGGCATTTGGCATTCTAAATGCATATGTTCACTAATCCCTCTGTTTTAGGATAGAGCCCAGATATTCAACTGTATCTAGAATAATCTACTGCAAAAGCTCTTCATTACACCCTTTCTAATGAATACATCTTCAGAAAAAGTAACAGAGATGAGGCAATGGGGAGAGAGACTTTTATCCAGAAGCATAAAATGGCAAGAATAATGCTTCTCAAACAACGTTCACCCAATCATCCTTACATTTACGCTTCCCTGACTTCCCAGTTCAGAGAGGTATCTGATGTAAATGTCCATGCAACATTGAGCATTGTTTGATATAAACTAAATCATTTCTCAGCTTCCTTCACTTGCTGAATTAAGGTTTGATTTTCTTGGATATTCTCTATCAAACCCCGGTTCTGGTCCTTGTCTTCTGCTGTATCATTTGCTGTTCCTCCATGCTTCTCAGGTTATGTTTTTAAAAAACTCTTTACTGTGGATTTATTAGATCTTCAGGATGAAGTGACATTGTATGGGCCATTTAGTGCAGAAATCAGAGTTCAACTTAAATGCCAGAGTTTTGTCAGAGGAAATCTAGAGGGCATTTCCCCGCTCCAATTTGCTTTGAAAAATGCCTGCTGCACATTTCACAGAGTTGACTTTATCTCTGTTTATGTTTATAAAGAGTGTTGTCTTTTCATTTTACCTAAGTGCTGTGTGATCCCTGGCCACTGCCCCTGCATTCTGCTGTGGAGTTGGGTAGGAGTGTTGTCGACTGTTTTACAGGAAGAATGTCTTTCTGACTCAGCTTTGGAAGGCAAAGGAAATTCTTTGAGCTAATGGATGGTTGACACCCCTCTTCTTCTGCAAGTCTTTTATGTATCTTTCCTGGACACAGTGCTGTGGGTACAGCCAATCAATAATTTCATGCTCAATGTAAAACGAGGCAAAAACTTGAGACAGATGAATCTGAATGTTTTGAACTTTAGACTTCGGTTTTAGGAAAATTGTGAGATAAAAGTGTCATCAATGTCTCTCAAATTATGGAATGTGAATGACAGCCAACTCTTGTTTTATGAGAACAAGATGTTTTGCATGCACACATGCGTTTGTGTCTGGGCAGGTGTATAAATTTATACATAAGCAGGAAGTTTCCCCCTTTCTCCTTATGTGAGCTTTTGGATAGCAATAGAACTTTCTGTTCTTTTTAAAAAAATTTTGCTTATGTTACTCTTACGTTATGTGAGACTAATATATATCTCTCTATTTTCCTCTCTTTCTCTCTGTCTCTGTCTCTCTCTACGCACATACACACACACACACACTCACACACACACCCCCCTCATATAATGTCAAATATATTTACACAAACCTGCCTGTAGGATTGGAAATATGTAAAGAAAATTATGTGAAATTATTAAGATATATTTCAATAGTTAATAATTGGGAATATTATAGTTTCTAACATTTAGGTTTGTCTTCTGACTCCCTCCTTCCCCACTGAATCCTACACAATGTGGAGGAGTTATAAATAAAGCCCTCTAAAATTTTGATGCGTAAGCATCAAGGTTTTGAGATCCTCTTAGCAGAATGGAAAAGACAGTTCAGAGAGGAATTCTCCCAGGATTCACCACCACATCTTCCTGAACAAAAAACTGTCTTTGGTGGTATCTGGTGGGCAGCAGCTATCTTTGAAGAATTGTGGCAAACCTCGGTGAGGGTAATGGAAGTACCTCACAGGAATTGGCCAGAGAGTGTACTAGTTGTCAGAGATTTTCTGGTCACTTGCAGAATAACTAAGCAGGGAGAAGGAATATCAGCCATGCATTTTCAAATTACTGCAATTCTTATATGGCTAGATGTGGGTAAGAACCAGTGAAATTTGAATTACTGTTAGAAATGTGATTTCACTTATATGAATAGGTTGAGGAAATCCCAGTTATGCTAAAGGAACTTATGGTTATTAGATATGAATAATTTTTTCCTTGGGTGATAATAATTCTTTCAATAGAGAAGCATTTAGATGAGAAGGGATCATTTTAGGAGACCACTGCCCTATCCATTAGGCCACTGGGTCTTCTAGCAGGTATCATTCTATAGAGTTTTGAATAAACCTTTTTTTCTATTGAGAGGGAAATATTTCCTTTTCTTTAAATTTCATCATCACCTATGAATGTTTGTTAGAAGATTCTTTCTAGAATTATAGTGTTAATAAAGATTGGGGTATGTACTCTAATTAAAAGTTGTTTCTCCAGCTCACTCCCTTAGAAAAAGTTCAAAATATAATGTTAAAAGATAATATTTAGAGTAACATTGAGAAATGATCCAACTACCTAAGAGCAAATTAAAAAAAAAAAAACTTGCAAAAATTGTACAGAGAAACTAGTATCAAGAGAAACTAAAGGTCTAAAGTCAAAGTTTTAAACCAGCACATTAGAAATATAGAAAAGGAAGGGCCAAATAATGTTGGACTCCTCCAAGGCTTTTCCCTGAGCAGCTGTTCTGTGCCACTCTGGTATTTGAATGTCGTGCCCATATTTGGATTTAAAAACTCTCTTCACATAGTAGCCACCACTCCTTTTTAACCTGGTTCAACTTCCGTCGTGTCCCTGATATATTTCTCTCTGGAATGCAACTCTAAAACATTACTGTGACATTTGCTCTGTGTGTGTGTAGTAACACAGCTATTTATGCTAGATATATATTTGCTCACAATATTCTTTAGATGGTAAATGTTTTCATTTTTATAAGTTATAATGTAATTCAGAAATAAACAATTTTTAGTGATTTGTCTACCTGGAACTCCCATTACTAGAAATTATAAACTCTACAACTAACCATTAAGATCATTCACACGTTCCCCTTAAATAAGACATCTCGATGATATCAGTCCTATCACCCTCTTAACCAATCACGAGAGCATGACACGCCTTTAGTATCTTAATTTTTCAGGCTGTAATCAGTCAGCATTGCCAGGAGGCTTAAGTCTTCCCAACCAACTGCTGTGATACCTGAATGTGATCTTCCTAAGCTTTCATGCTATGATCGTGCTTAAATTGAATGTCTTGACCAACATCTCAACCATAAAGTGTTATTCAGTTCATGCTTGTAGGACATATATAATAATTTACCTGCACTTATATTTACCCACACTTATAAAATCCACAAATCTTACTTCACCTCAATATAATAACTTCCTATAACCCAAGAACAAGACATAATACTCAAAAATCCAAATCAACCTGTATTTTTTGAGGCAGTTATCCCAAAGACATATCCCTCAACTAGTAAAAATTAACCAGTATACCCCCATTTAATTACCAAACATACTCACCTCCTACAATCATAGTATATTTTCCAATTAGTACTTAGTACTAACTACTTACAATTTCTCTTCACATACCTCAAATAAAGCCCTCCAGAAAACACTTAAATTTATATTCTAATTCAAGTAAATATGCTCCCAATCAAGCTCCAAAACTTCCTACCTACAACCTCATTTCCCCATACCCATTATTTAAACATTTATCAAGTTAATGTAGCTTAACTGAAAATGTCTAGATGGGTATTCATTACCCCATAAACACACAGGTTTGGTCCTAGCCTTTCTATTAGCTCGCAGTGAGATTACACGTGCAAGTATCCACACCCCTGTGAACTGCCCTCTAGGTTATTCAAAACAAGAGGAGCAAGCATCAAGCACGCAGCTCACAGCACTTTGCTTAGCCACGCCCCCACGGGAAACAGCAGTGACAAACCTTTAGCAATAAATGAAAGTTTAAGCTACACTAATTAATAGAATTGGTAAATTTCATGCCAGTTACCGCGGCCGTATGATTAACTCAAGTTAATAGAACCTGGCATAAAGAGTGTTTAAGGTCCACCCTTAATAAAACTAATCTTTATCTGAGTTGTAGAAAACTCCAGCTACAATAAAATATACTGCGAAAGTGGCTTTAACACCCTGAAGACACAATAGCTAAGACCCAAAATGGGATTAGATACCCCACTGTGCTTAGTCCTAAACCTCAGTTATTTAATGAACAAAATCGTTTGCCAGAATACTACAAACAACAGCTTAAAACTCAAAGGACTTGGCAGTGCTTTATAGCCCTCTGGAGGAGCCTGTTCTATAATTGATAAACCCTGATATACTTCACCACCACTTGCCCCCAGCCTATATACCGCCGTCTTCAGCAAACCCTTCGAAGGTCAAAAAGTAAGCACAGCACAGCTATAAAAACATTAGATCAAGGTGTAGCCAATGAAGCGGAAAGAAACGGGCTACATTTTCTAACTCAGAAAATTCTATGATAACCTTTATGAACTCTAAAGACTCAAGGAGGATTTAGCAGTAAATCCAGAACAGAGAACTTGATTGAATAAGGCCATGAAACATGCACACACCGCCCGTCACTCTCCTCAAATATCATGTAAAAATACTTTACCAAAAACTCTATATACTGATACAGAGGGGATAAGTCGTAACATGGTAAACGTACTGGAAAGTGTGCTTGGACAAACCAAAGTGTAGCTTAACCTAAAGCATCCAGCTTACACCCGGAAGATCTCACCATTAACCTGATCACTTTGAGCTAATTCTAGCCCTAACCTCATTTAAATATGTTATTAAAACATATTAATTAAGCCATTTACCTTCTATAAAAGTATAGGAAATAGAAATTATATTTCGGTGCAATAGATCTAGTATCACAAGGGAAAGACAGAAAGCTTAACCAAGCATTAAAAAGCAAAGACAAATCCTTCTACCTTCTGCATAATGAATTAACTAGAAATAACCTTGTCAGGGAGCTACCACAATGCTCCCTGAAACCAAGTGAACTACTCAAGGAAAGCTAAAAGAGCACACCTGTCTACGTGACAAATAGTGGGAAAATCTATGAGTAGTGGCGACAAACCTACGGAGCCTGGTGATAACTAGTTGTCCAAGACAGAATCTTAGTTCAACTTTAAATTTACCCACAGAATTATTTAATCCCCTGGAAGTTTAACTGTTAGTCTGAAGAGGGATAGCTCTTCAGACCCTAAGAAACAACCTTTCACAGACAGTAAGATTTTTCACTAAAATAGTTGGCCTAAAAGCAGCCACCAATTAAGAAAGCGTTCAAGCTCAGCATTTCATTATTTTTAATTTCACTCACTTTACTGAACTCCTAAAATCACATTGTACTAATCTATTACTTAATAGAAGCAACAATGTTAGTATAAGTAACATGAAAATATTCTCCTCTGCATAAGCTTATATCAGACCGGAATAACTACTGCTAGTTAACAGCTCAATTTTTATAACTTATACCCTAAATAATCTATTATTCAAACTGTTAACCCAACACAGGCATGCCCTTAAGGAAAGAGTAAAAAAAGGAAAAGGAACTCGGCAAACCTTATCCCCACCTGTTTACCAAATACATCACCTCTAGCATTACCAGTATTAGCGGCATTGCCTGCCCGGTGACACAGGTTTAATGGCCGTGGTACCCTGACCGTGTAAAGGTAGCATAATCGCTTGTTCCCCAAATAGAGACTTGTATGAATGGCTACACGAGGCTTTAGCCATCTCTTACTTTTATTCAGTGAAATTGACCTATCCGTGAAGAGACGCATATGACCAAATAAGACGAGAAGACTCAATGGAGTTTCAATTTACTGATACAAACTAATATCTAAATGAACCCACAGGCACTAACCCATTGCTCATGTGTTAGAAATTTTGGTTGGGGTGACCTCAGGGTATAATATAACCCCCAACAATATAAACTAAGACCTCACTAGTCTAAGTAAACGAACAAACATTGACCCAAAAATTTGATCAATGGACCAAATTGACAATAATAAACAATTTGAAAATTTTTGTAGAGATTGTCTAATGCTGTATGTAATCAGATAATATGAATATCTTGTGCAATAATTTAAAATTTGACTTTTATCAACCAGCCAAATTATTTTCTCAAAAACTCAGTTCTTCAGTCTAATAAACACATCTTTTCCCAGAAAAGGTTTCAGACTAACAAGTAGTGCTAGGACAGAGGTGATTAAGCAATTGTTTTCTGTTTTCGCAGAATTGTTTTCTTCATTTTCTTATGCAAATATTGTTTATTTACTGTTTATGCTGTGCACCTAGCTTTTTCAAAAAAATATATATATTTATATATATATAGCCGTTCATCATTTTAAAAAGAACAAAATGAAAATTTGAACATTACTAGTTAAGTTCATAATGTATATTTCTTTGAGTAGATAGAAGTCTGGAACTTTGAATTGATTTTAGGAATGCTTTATCAATGATAAAGACAATGCTATTTAAAAGGACTGGTTCATTACTGAATGTGAAAAACAACACAAAAGGAAATATAGGAAAATATTACTATATTACTATAGCATTGCATTAATTTTACTTGGTAAACAATTCATTTTCTTGCTAGTTCATTTAGATAACTAACCATGCCATACTGTTATATTACTAGTATCAACATCTGTGACCATTGCAAGCCCACAAGACAAAGTCAGCATCCAGATATTTCTCCTGTCTAGGTCCCACAATATGCCAATAGTGAAGACTGCAATTATCATAATAGTCATGACTCCAATATGTGAAGAAAGTTTCATAATTGAAACAAAAAAAAAATATGTTTTTTGAGAGCAAAAATTTGGTTGAGATGGTTTTCAAAGATAATTATATTGGAAAGGCAATTACATAACTTTTGTTATAGATAGGTATGCCAATTAAAAACAAATATTAAAGAATCTGGTCGCCATATTCCGGGAACCGAGGCATTTTCAGGTTCTAGGGTTGTTCGGAAGTTGCAGGAGCGAGATGGGGGTGGACATGCCGGGTGTTGCCGGTAGAAATGGTGCCTCTGAGCTTCGAGGCTTGAGCTGGGCAGGGAGGCGTAACCTTGATGTGTGGCCTCAGTCAGGAGCAAACGGGCTTCCCAAACACTCCTACTGGTTGGACCTCTGGCTCTTCATCCTTTTTGATGTGGTGGTGGTTCTCTTTTTGTATTTTTTTGCCATGACTCATCTTGTGATGTCTAAATTAAGGAGTTGGTGCTTGAGTGAATTCTAAAATGACTACAAACTTCTTGAATAAAGAAGACAGGACCCTCAACAGAAGAATTTCAAATCTCCAAGAGACCCTTCCTTTCATTTTACACTTTGTTACTAATTTGCAGAAATCTTAAGTGGGTAGGATTTCACCTATTCCTAGCTAAGTTGTTGAAATTAAACCCTTTGGTTCAGGTTTAAAATCTTCTCAAATATCTGATAGCTTTACAGGTGCTGAATATAAAAGCATTTGTACTTACAAAAAATCTGATTCTGCTTGGATATAAAGTCACAAGAGCATGCTATGTATATTGTAAATCTCACGGTTGGTGAGCGCACGATCAACAAGCCTTAAGTTTAGAAACTATGGAATGCTTACACAGAATACATTGTTTTCAACCTTCTACATAGCCAAATGACAGATCCTAAGTATACTATTTGTGTCTTTATTATAGCTTATTTGCAGACTACTAAGATCAAATTGATATCTATTAAACTTTCTGACCAATGTATGTTAATTCCAGGTTTATGTTGCAAACACCTGAGTACACACGAAGAATCATGTTTTTACTCTGTTTTCACCACAGGCCTTCATTTTCTGAGTGCCTTATTGTTTTAAACCTACCGACACATTCTGGACAAAGACTATAGAACCAGTGCTGACGAACCCAAACCTTCTTTTAGGAAAATCAATCCTCCCATTTCCAAACACAATATGAGGAAGTGGTTCTTGTCTCAAAGCAAGGTGGAGGAAGTCCCAGATAATTTGGATTATCTCTATTTGGTAAATTTAAGTGTTTTAGGATCACGTAGTTCTGCCCATAAGTGAACTTTACAAAATAACTAAATTAAAAGTATCTGGAACTGACCATGTCATTGAATTACATAAAAGTATCTGTATATGACCATATCATTGAATTACGTAAAAGTATCTGTATCTGACCATTAAATGTCATTGAATTACTTACTTATCTCAACTATTAACAACCAGTGAAGCTTTTCTGTTAAGTTTTTGGCACCTGATCTTTGACCCAATCTTAGTCTGTCTCTCATTAGATCATTAGAATGCTCACTTGGTTTCTATCACTCTGACACTGCCGCGCCATAATTCCCAGCTGTCTAGTTGTCTGCCTCAGTGGCGGCACCAATTTAAATCTACTTTGCTGCTCTCTCTGGGTTTCTCTCCTAAGATAATTCATTAGCAAATGCATTTTGGCACTTATGTTTTTCCCCAGCTAGTTTGATGTGGCTGGCAAAGATATATCACCTGTGGTGGCAATGTAGATAATTTGGAAAGCTGTTATAGCATTCATTTTGAACAGCAAAGCAATACTTCACTGGCAGATGATTCTAATCCAACTCTAAATATCTGTTAGGTGAGGTCCTGGAAACTTGTTTCTGATTTCCACATATTAGGCTAATGTTTTTATGTTCATTTAGTTTGATTTTTCTTTTGTTATGGAACATTACAGAATATCATTTTTTTGTTTTTGTAATTTTTAAGCAAAAAATTGGAGATCCTGCACAAGTTTTCCTTAAACAGAACCAGGTAATATGTAGAGATAGATGATGCTTATCTCCATGTTGATGCAGTAAGAGCAGTTTAGTTCAACCCTTCAATTATCAGTTCTTAGCTAATGAATATGACTGCAATTTAGAGAAAATTAAGTTATTTTCTAATAAAAATAATAGATTTGAAGAAATTTCATTTTAAGTGTTTGTCTACAGTGGGCAAAATGTGGAATAAAGGCTTCTAGAATCACTGACTTTCAAAACTGGAAGATACCTCTGTAATAAAACATTCTAAGCCCTACTTTTTAGGTGCATAAATTGTGTCTTCTGTAAACTGATTTTGTCCTGAGTGCCTCCAAAGGAGGGAGGCTTATAAAATTTATGCTTTCCATAGAATATTATTCATGTATTCAGGCACCTTTTTCCAATACATGTTTTGTCTACATTGAAAGTTTGTTGTTTAGTGTACACACCTTCATCAATAATCTTTTATTTTTTTGAGATGGAGTTTCACTCGTTGCTCAGGCTGGAGTGCAATGATGCAGTCTCAGCTCTCTGCAATCTCTGCCTCCTGGGTTCAAGAGATTCTCCTGCTTCAGCCTCCCAAGTAGCTGAGATTACAGGCACCTGCCACCATGTACAGCTAATTTTTGTATTTTTTTTTTAGTAGAGACGGGATTTCACCATGTTGGTCAGGCTGGTCTTGAACTCCTGACCTCAGGTGATCCATCTGTATCAGCCTCCCAAAGTGCTGGGATTACAGGTGTGAGCCACTGCACCTGGCCAATAAACTTAACTAGATCTTCTAGATAACTAGAAGCTTCTTCATTGTCGCTTGCTGCTTCAGCTTCTAATTTTATGTTACGGAGAGAGCTGCTTTTCTTAAATCTCAGGAAACAATCTCTGCTGGCTCAAATTTTTCTTCTGGAGCTTTCTCTCCTCTTTCAACCTTTACAGATTTGAACAGCGATGGCCTTGCTCTGGATTAGGCTTTGGTTTAAGGAAGTGTTGTGGCTGGTTTGATCTTCTATTCAGACCACTGAAACTTTCTCCATATAAGCAATATGATGATTTTGCTTTCTTGTCACTCACGTGTTCACTGGAGTAGCACTTTTCATTTCCTTCGAACTTTCCTTTGCATTCACAACTTGGCCAATTGTTTGATGTAAGAGGATTAGCTGCCAGCCTATCTCTGCTTCTGACACCGCTTCCTCGCTAAGCTTCATTATTTCTAGCTTTTAATTTTTTGTTTTTTTTTCTTTTTTTTTTTTTAGACAGAGTCTCCCTCTATCGCCAGGCTGGAGTGTGGTGGCATGATCCCGGCTCACTGCAACTTCTGTTTCCTGGTTTACAAGCAATTCTTCTGCCTCAGCCTCCCGAGCAGCTGGGACTACAGGCATGCACCACCACATCCAGCTAATTTTTTGTACTTTTAGTAGAGATG